ATATAGATATGACCTCAGCTTATTACATTGATTAGCCTCTCTAAGGTTGACTCAGCCTCCAGCTTCATGTAGAACAAAGTAATTCATTCTGAACAATTAGAGTAGTTCAAATATCAAACCTAATATTGATGCAGACTCTTTAAGCTTCTAGGTAACTGTCAATAACTTTATTTGATGGAAATGGAATGATGCCAGCAGTTTTTCTCACGATGTCTTACTGCTGATTTTGCAGTCTTTTACTTGGTGTGAACACATAATCAACAGCATTTTGAATGCTCACTGCCCACTTTCATTAACAACCAGGGCGAAAGCAGAGTTTCTTCATAGATAGGAATACTGAAAAAGAGCTCTTATGCCTGAGCAAGAGGGAAGAAATGGAATAAACTGTGCACCTTCAGATCCATAGTGCAAGGCAGTGTGCTGTAGTGGAAAGAATTGTGCTGCTGGCTAAAACCTCCATGTCTTTGGGTTCTGTTCTGTCATTTCTCTGGATACTACTACTTTGTCTATGATATGAGAAAAATAGTATGATGAAGAAAGAGCAAGAGTTTTGGAGTTGGCGCTAGTTTTGAATTCTGACTCTGCCATTAGCTGTGTGACTGGGCAGATTATTTAATGTATCCCTTTATTTAACTTAAAAATAAGTAAAATGCTTATCTTATGTCAGTGTTTGGAGGATTCAGATCCCTGAGAGAATGCAGGTAAAGTGCCAATACACAGTGGGAGCTCAGTGAAAGTTGTTGTTGACCTCTCTCTAGTAAATGGCAACAGTTGGACTTTTTCTCTGACGTCTCCTCCTGTTCTAATACTTGCCAATTTTACTTTAAAATGCGATCTCATAATTCCTTGAATTGCCTCAATTTTAAGAAAAGTCAGAGTGTACAATGCATGCTAACATTTTGGGCTTTCTGGAGAGCTTGCATTCAAGTGTGGCCATTAAACAGGAATAAATTATAATGCTGATGTTTGCAGTCAAGGCAACCACAAATCTCAGAGCACAACTGTATTATTACTGGGAATTTCTAAGTCTCTTAACAGAGAAACACATCACAGTGGGCTTTGCTATTATGCAATTGGGCACAAATATATAATCAATAGAGCTCTCAAGACAAGGAGAAAAATGTTTTTTACTAGTATATAATAAATATGCTAAGAAGTCTAACATTTTATTCAAAGGCTTAAAGATAATTTTTTGGAGGATACAATAGACAATGTTAGAGGAGGGATCACCCATTTGGAAGAAAATGTAAATCTCATAAAGGTAATAATTTATCACTCAAAAGCACATAAGGATAATCCTTGTTACTGTAGATAAGTGTTATTCTGTAGGCTGTGTGCCCTAATACTGGGTTGAGTTATGTATGACCAGCATTTAAAAAATCAGAATAAAAAACATCAGAATGGATGGCACACTGTAAGGGTTATGTTTGGTAGAATTCTTATTACATACATATATGTGTACTGAGTCATGATGGAAACTTCTTTCTTACTGTGGGTCATGATCAAAAATTTTGAAACTATTGTTCTATGTGACAGTATCTAGAGCAGCATAATAAAACCTGTACTTTGAAAAAGCATTTGATATATTTGAGAACCATAATTTAAATTCTGTTGCAAAAATTTTTTGGAAATTGTTTCAACTTGTCATTTTCGGGTCATCATTTTAAAGTTATTACTTAACAAGGCAATATGCACAAATACTGCAGCACTCTATTGGGGAGATCATAAATTTAGTTTTGAAAATCCACTTACAGAAACCAATAGAATCTCCAATCTTAATGACTCTTTAGCATTATCTCAACGCAGATTACCAGCCATGTTAAAAATATTCTTAATTACACAATCGTTCAAAAACGGTAGTCCCTTGAAGTGAACGTTTCAAAAAATAAAAAACGAAGAAACTAGAAAAACCAAATGAACTCCCAGTTGATATCACAAAATGACACATATTCTGAGCACAAAAAGAACAGGAAGTGAAATAATTTGGAGAACCTGACCAAGCAGACTGTGACAAAAAAGTGTGATTTGGACAAATGAGGCTTGTCCTACACAGACTGTGCTAAAAAGCTGCTGAAGATGGTGACCACTGAGTTATATGCACACCTTTACTTTGAATGTCTTGTCTCCAGTGGATGACTACAAAAAGAACTATGCTATAAAAATAGGGTAGGGATCTTCTGAGTTCTTATACACTAAATGAAAATCGCTATGTTGTTGTATGAGGTATGATAAAAATATACTATAAATATTAAAATTTTAAAAAATTATGACAGTAAAAACACATTAAGATGAATCTCCCTCAAAATACTCTCCTTTGCTTCAAACACAGTTACCCCATCATTTTTGCCACTTTTTAAGCTATTTGAAAAAAATTAGTTCTGAAGCAGTTCTGGAAGACCTCTTTCATGTCATTATGAACGTGATGAAAAACACAATGACTGGCTGCTGGGTGCCATCCAGTAGAAAGGCAAGCTTGTAAAAACATTATGGTGTGTTCGCATCCAAGTTATTCACCCAGTCTGGCACTGTGCAACTTCTGGCCTCTTCCTCAAAGTCAAAATAACCATGGAAACATTTTTAATTGATTGAGGACATAAAGGGAGCCACAACAGCACAACTAAAGATACAAAAGAGGACTTTCAGAACTCCATGAGAAAGTGACAAGAACAATAGGATAAGTGTGTTCAAAGTGAGGGGGAGTATTTTGAAGGAGATCAATGGTAATGTGCCTATTATTGTAATAAAAATTTTTAAAATTTATAAACATTCATCATACTTTTTGATCACATCTCATATAATTGACACTGGTCAGCATTTGGATTAACGTTAAACTTTACCAAAACCTATAATTATTTGTTTCATAATTTTTTTATGATTGTAAAGCTGTTCACTTAAAACATTTTATGATTATAAGTTCACTACCATTTTTACTTACGTGGGTTAACACAATAAGTCCATGAGCCCAAAGATAATCATTTTTTATTTTCCAGTACCTGGGATCGAACTCAGGACCTTGCGCTTGTGAGCCTGGCGTGGTGCCACTGAGCTAAATCCCCAGCCCAAGATAATCACTTTTGATAGCTTTACCAAGATGAAATTTGCATTCCATAAAATTCACGAATATAAGCATACAATCAGTGATTTCAGTAAGCTTGGAGTTGTTCAACCCTCATCACAATCCAGATTTGAATCATTTTTATTACCCAACATGTTTTCATATACCCATTTGCAGTTACTCATGGCAGGCTTGGGGCTAGGACAAGTGAAGCATTTACTCCACATGCAAAATTTAAAGAGGTGTTGAAATATCATTAATTGAAACAAATAGCATTCTACTGCAACACTTGAAAAATTAAAAATGAATGCAAAAACATCCATGATGTACAAATTATCAAAATTTTAAATAAAGACTGCATCTTCTCCCTGAATGTACTCTCGTTAACCTCACTTATCTCCTACTAATCCTGGCCTTATTATCCTCCTTCTGCTCCCTTCAGACATTGACAACCACTAACGGACTTTCTGTCTTTATGGATTTATCTATCTTGGACAAATAAAATAATATAATATGGATGTTCAATAAATTTAAATACATAACTAAGTGTTAACGCATGGCCTTTGTGTTTGGCTTATTTCACTTGGCATAATGTTTATAAGGTTCACTTGTGTTGTAGCATGTGTTAGTAGTCTTTTAAATTGCTGAATAGTTTCCCATTTTATAGACATGTCAAAGTTTGTTTATCATTTCACTAGTTGATGAACATGTGGGTTGTTTCTACTAAAAATGAAGGTACTATGAACATTGATGTAAAAGTTTTTAGGTGGGTATATGTTTTCATTTTTCTCATGTAAATAACTCAGTGCAATTGCTGTCTCATATTTTAAGTGAATGTCTACCTTTATAGGAAACTGCCAAACCATTTTCCACTGTGGCTATAGCATTTTGCATTCCTACTATTAAGGGTTGAAAATTATAGTTATTCCACATCCTCAGACTTGGTATTGTCTACCTCTTTGATTTTAGCCTTTATGAAGGATGTGTAGAGGTACCTCACTGTGATTTTAATTTGCATTTCCTTAATGAATAACAATGTTGAACATCTTTTCATGTATTTATTAGACATTTGTATAACTTCTTTTGTCACAGGTCTATTCCAATCTTTTGTCCATTTTTAAAATTGAGTATAAATTTGGGTTATTTTTATGCAGTGCTAACAGATATGCTCTAGATACAGTTCTTTTATCAGGTATATAATTTGCTAATATTTTCTCCTAGTCTATGGCTTGGATTTTCATTTTATTATAGTTTCTTTTGAGATGTAAGGTTTTAGATTTTGATGAAGTTCAGTTCATCAAAATTTTAAGGGATTCTGCTCTTTGTGTTCTATGAGAATTCTGTCTAATCCAAAATTACATTGATTTTTCTCTTATATTTTCTCTGAGAAATTTTATATTTTAGCTAAGAGACTTTGGTGGAATACTATAATACTGTAGACAGTTCTAGACAATCAGAGCAAAATGAAGAGGATCTTGAAAGTGGAAAGTAAGAGAGTTTTAAAGAAGAGTTCTTTTTTCACATTTTGTCTAGATTCAATCTCTTGGCAAATGAGACAATATTTTAGCCCAGTTAATGAAGAAACCATGCCTGCTTGATCTAAGATTCATTATTTGTTTTATCCAAATAATTTAATACTAGCATGCAATGTTGCCTTTATCCAGAGTGCAAATATTTGCTATGATTTGTGCAAATATACAAAACCATAGAAATGCATGAAAGACATTCAAAGCAACACCAATGACACATCATCTCATGGATGTAAGCAAACAAAATGGCTTGACAATAATTCATCACTGGATGGAATGTTAAATAAAAGAAATCTGGAGTTGAAATGGGTGAATACCAGATGTACATGGGTGGAATATTGCCATTAAAGGCAAATACATGAATGGAATGTGGCCATAAAATGCAAGGAAGTGTTGTATATTACATGGAAACAAACCTTGGAGAAATATCACATCCTTGCTGCATAAAGGCACCCAAGGAAAACCAAAGACTGTTAAATATTCCAAATTCATTTGGAGGGTCAGGAGGGCTTTGTGGGTCACGAGGTTCTTCATTGTTGTCTTCCAAGTGCCATTCATAAGGGCTGAATCTGCTGACTAGGAAAAGAACTACGCTGACTCCAATATAAGCGAAGACAATGCACATCCAGATTTCATAAGCCAAGGGATCCAGAAATGAGAACACGCCTGGTTTTGATTTCTGAGGCTTCTTTATCATGATGGAGATGCCCAGGCTCATAAATGGTTTTGAGAAATCTATGACTTCTTCACGGACCAGTGTTATAGTAAGTGGAGCAACAGCTATATCAGCTCTCTGAAAAACAAATATATATGTGACTTTTAAAGATAGTATTTCAGTCATTTGCCACCTAATATGCTTCTTTAGTGGAAATATAAAATTTGAATTCACTACAACAAATTGATTCATCAATGCTCATGTTCAAAAAGTAGTAGCATTCAATAGGTTCTAAAGTACTTTAACTTGATGGTAAATCAAAGAAAAAGCATTGGCTTTTTGTCCTCTGAGACATACTGCCTTAGAGCAACAGATTCCATTTTTTTCCTTTTTTGGGGGGAGTGCCTTGCAACTGAACTTGTACTCCCTGTGGTATATCCCTGTTTAACTTTTGTTTTCTTATGTTTATTTTCATCCTCCTATGTCTTACCTCCCTCAGTTGACTGGAGACTTTTGTGAGAAGCACAATAGCCTGTACTTAACTTACATTTGTTTCCCTCCCACCATGGGTTTAGTTCAAATTCTTGGATGCTTGCTATCATGTGTTATGCTTGAATTTTTTTGAGATTATGCCTATTAAACAGATATTTCAAAGTGAGGGACTGGATCTTCTATTTCATATGTATCATTGCAACAAACTTTAAATAAAACTGTAGATGCCTTTAAAAAGTTTCTGGTTTTTGAATGTGATAAATAAAAACATGAAAGAATTCTGCCTGGGCAATGGCAAGGGTAAAATAATTATTAGAATACATGTTAATTTATATAGCAAGCTATATTTTCTAGTGATGAATATCAGTATAGCACTCACATACATCATATCAATAAAGTAAATGTCAGCAGTGTTTTGCATAATTAACTCAGGCAGAGGAAGGACACATTTTTATATTAATTTCATGAAAGTTGGCATGAGGAATTTCTACACTTATTTCTTTTGTTTTCCATAGTTTTCCTTTACAACAGTAAGTTTTAGTCTGGATCCAGGCCTTAAAATGCACCCATAGGAAAATGCTTGTAATTAAGAAAAGGCTTAGAGATGATCTATTAGGTATGAAGTAAAAATACCAATGTTGATCAATTTTTTCTGTTAAATATTGAGCTATGTCTCAATATCCCTTTTAGTAAGAAGATAGAGTATATTTTCAAAGAAATGAAATTTTACTACCTTGAATTACATATGATAACTCAAACCAGTTGAAAAAATTCTCTGTGAGTAATTTAAGGAGGAATGCAGATGATAAGCAGCTAGCTCATGTTTATTGAGTGCTGACTTTGTATGAGACATGGTGCTAAGCACTTCATACATATTACCTCATTCAATTCTCATAGCAAATTAAGGTTGGTACAATTATTATTCCCATGCTAGAGATGAAAATAGTGAAGCACTGAGAGTATTTTACTTAGATTAGATTAAGTTTTAGAACCCTAGTATTTAGATTCCGGAACTCACTCTCTTAACCAGCACAATGGTCTCCATTGATACTTGGAGGTTTCTATAGCATAATACTTTTATTTGCAATTATCCACTTGACTAGCCTCTCTCAGGTTTTTTTCCAATGTATATTTGAATGCCTATTCTGTGCCAAGCACTATTCCAGATGCTAAGAATGAACCAGTGAGCAAGGTGAATAAAATAGACAAAACTACTTACCTTTATGGAGGACATGATACATTCCTCCTAGTAGAAGTTGCAAAATCATGTGTTTATTGAAGCCAACAGCCTACTGACCAAATTCACATTAATCACTCACTAACATTAAACTCACCTTTTCTAAAATAAAACCCATCCTGTCTCACTCCAAAGTAGATCATTCTCTAAGCCTGTAAATGATGCTTATTCCAAACTTTCTCCAGTTCCTAATCATTTCCAGTCCTACTGCCTCAGCAGATGATCTTGCCTCTCTCTTTACTAAGAAGTTGGAAGCCATTTGATCTAAGTCCTATCACCTCAGAGTCCTTCCTCTTGTCCACGTATTGTTTATCCATTCCCTCTGTGAATTTCCATCTCACAGAAAGTGACACTCTAAGATTTAATCTACTTATTCCATACATTTCATATATTCTTCTGCTATCTTAAAACATAGCTTAATCTATGGTCTCTTTTATATATTACAACTTTTGCTTTTCCATTAATTTATCTCAGTGGTTCTCAAAGGGTGGATCTTGGAATAGCAGCAAAAATGTCACCTGGGAACTTGTTAGAAATATCAATTCTCAGGTCACATCCCAGATGTATGGAATCAGAAACTCTGAGAGTGGATGTAAGTCAACCTAAGTCTAAGAGTAGAACTCAGGTGGCCTTCTGGGTGATTAGAATGCTTGTTGTAACTTGAAAATCATCGATTTATCTTATACAATTAAAATCATACTCAAGTATTTCTGTTTACTAACAAGCAAAACCCAGTCCTTCCACCTTTCGATCTTGCTACCCTGGTGACCACATTCTCTCTCTATCACCACCAAAGTTCTTGAAAGATTACACCATTGCCATCTCTGAATTTCATCACCACTTTTTCCTCATGGACTTGAAATCTAAATTCTAACCTCTCCAATTTACTGTTTGTTTTTTTAACTATATCCTTGGTTATGAAATTTAAAGATCTTCCCTTAGACATGTACTGCTCATGTGAAACCATTGGTATTTTGCATTATATGCCCAATTTCCTTTGCTCTCTGATACTAAAGACTACAGGTTGTCCTCTTACTTTTATACATATTCCTTCTTTTATCTTTTCTTCCTAGTTGTGTTCTCTCAACCAAGGTGTACTTTGTACTCCCAGAGTCTCTTCATGGTGCCTGGCTTAGAAGGCAATCAGTGAAAATTTATGGAACAGGAAAGATCCTTTTAGGTCTATCCTTTATTCGCTCCCCTCAGTATTACCATCTATGGCTTCAACTTTCACTGGAGCTGTCTCCTGAACCTCCAGTCCCTCATTGCTGACTGGATGGGAACCAAAATCAAATTTTACCCAGTACACCCTTTTGCCGGGGGCTAGACCTGGTTGTAGAACAAAGGCAGCCAAGGAGAATGGAATTGGCCAGAAAGCTAGCAGGGTTCTTTTTGGTAGAGAGAGACTGAATCAGCTAGAGAGAGTCCTATCATGCCAAGAGAATTCATAGATAAAACCACTTTCTCTACTTGCCAACATGTCTCTGCCTCCTGCTCAGAACATGCAAATGCTCATCTAGTAACATTTCCCATTTGATCTCATTTGAATTTAATTACTTAATTCCACTAGTTTTTAATCTTGTAAGTCTAAAAGAGAATTCTAGGAGAAATTGCCATTTTGGAGGAAGGAAGATGTAAGGGGGCATTTGTGTGAGAAAATCACTTTGGACTGAATTTAAGGGAATTGGGTTCTTTTCAATAAGGTACAGAAAGGAGTTTGAGAATCTTGACTTCATAAAAAAACTAAGTAACTGGAACATCCACTGCATGTAAGCACAAATAAATACTAATAAGAGGGGACTAGGTAGACAGAGCACGACTTTTGGTTGTCTGGTTCCCAGGAACATTCAGCAAAAGAGTAGATTCCCAAAGGAGGTCATTCCTAGTTTGAAGTACTTTTAAAATCACAAACAGAAGAATGTGCTTCCCTCAGGCACTTGGCTTTTTTCCTTCAGCCTGGTATTTCTACCTTTTCTGAATTTCTACTTTTTATACCTTTTTTTTCAAAGGTCTATTTTTTGGGAAGATACTCCTTCAATGAAGAATGGTATTAAGTCCGTGCCAAGTTAAGCCTTATTGATGTGCACCTGATTCCAAAATGAGAATTCCCATTCTGATTCTTAAAGAAGACCTACAGATCAAAGCAATAATGACAAATAACAGAAGAACAAAGCCTTAACCAATAGAAGAAGCTACTGATGGAGCCTCAAGGACAGCCAGCTGGACAGGAGACTTCACTACTCTTTCATCACTTGTGTGTTTGGTAAGAGACCAAAGCAGCAGACCCGTGTGTCAGCTCAGAGACAGCCTTGGAGAATTTCTTATCTTCTATCATCACTATCTGCTTTTCATATTATAATGCCATTGTGATGGTTGGTTATATCAGGGCTTAGCAACCTGCCTGTCATAATGTATCTGGAGCAATCAACTTGATTATTAAATAAGCTGGGGAAGAGCAGATAACTAATAAGTGTCCCAAAATGTTCATTCAGCTCTTCTGGGTCTGCCATAGTATGAGATGAGGGAGGTCACTTTTAAGGAAAGTTAAAAATTTAAGAGGCCCACACTGATGAAAAATTGAAAAAGACGACTCTCTAAATGGAATTTGTGTTAACTTTCTGTCACTGTGACAAAATAACTGAGAAAGTAAATTTGGAGAAGGAAAGGTTTATTGTGGTTCATGGTTCAAAGGTTTCAGTCCATGGTAACTTGGCTCTGTTCCTTCTAGGTCTATGGTAAGGCAGAAACATCATATTAGTAGGACATCACAGAGGAAAGCTGCCCACCTCATGACAGCCAGGAAGCAGAGACACAGTACAGGGAAAGAGCTAGCAGGTGCATGCTCTTTCTTCCTCCTTTGTTCCACCCAGGCCCCACCCTATTGGATGGTACCGTACACCTTCAGGGTGGATCTCCCCCATCATTTTGCTGTCCCACAGGCCAACTGTCTCTGGAAACACCCTCTCAGACATACCAAGAAGTGTGCTTTACTAATTTACTAGGTGTTTCTCAATCCAATCAAATTGGTAGTCAAGATTAACCATCACAGGATTCCTTTCTTGATTTTGATTCTTATGAAAGTCAGCTGTGGTTGGGAGTGAGCCTCAAGAATTATGAATAGGGTTGTGTGTGGGGGGGTAGGGAGTAGGTGAAATCTGACAAAATAATGAAATGTCTTTCGTGTGGTGTCTTGAACTATTCTGGGGGCCTTTTTTCCATAAGCTTCTGCCTATGCTGGTAACAGCAGTAGACAAGTCATTTTCCACAAACCTAGGTGGGTATGTAGGTGGTATGAGGGGTCTCCAGTTGAGAGACAAATATCAACAAATGCTAAGAGCTCAGGGTAAGAGTTTGCCAGTGTTTTTTGTTTGTTTTTTGCTTGCATCTTGACTACTTAAAGATTTTAATC